CCGGATGGAAAAAATAATTTATATTTACAAAGTCAATTGGGTCATCCTTCTTACGGCCAAGGCCGATCAATACAAGAAAAAAAAAAACAAAGAAACACTAAACGCCAAACGGCGAACAAGAAAAGAAAAAATGCATAAACATTTTTACTCTCGGTGCGTCTGCGCCCACCGTCGCCCAGCGTCAGCCTCTGGCGTCGCCGCGTCAAATGCCACAGTCGGCACGTGCCTCACGAGCCTTCTGACGCAGCCCCCTCGAAAGCAGCTTCGGTCTACGACGCCAGCCTCCCACAAACCTTTATATACATCACGTTGGGCTCGCAAAGACCCAAAGTTCTCAGCCTGGCGGAAGAAAGCGGCCTGAATCCCGTAGCGCTGATCTCTCTCTTCTAAGGCTGTGAATCCGGTCCCGCGGACCTGGGCGTCCTGCCAAAGACACCAATCCGCTCCTCGAGACTCGCTTCTCTAAGGCCGCACATCCCTTTCATGCCGGTGGGTACTTCGTGCATGCGGATAGCTCCTTCCAAGCCCCGGCCCTAGACGAAGCATCCCTCACTTGAAGCTTCAATGCCGCGACTCACCCTCAACGCGGTCACTTTCCCGCTCCATGCCGCAGCGGCCTCCGCCGCCTTGGCTCGCCCCGGTGCCTCGCACTCAGCTGCGACCCTCTTTACCGCCTCGAGCTCCTCATCCTTTCGGCGGAGCTGTTCCTCGAGAGCACTCGTCCTGCCAAGTATTTGCTGCATCTGAAGCTCCCGCCTCGCCAGCTCTTCGACCAAGGCCCGGCTGCGAGGATCATTCCTCAAGCGCACGCGCAACTCTCGGCACTGATCTCGGTAGCGGCGATACTTCTCCAGCGCCCGCAGAAATATCCCCGAGCGGACCTTGGCTCGACGGATGCTCTCCACCTCCAACAGATAAGACTGCAAAGCAAAGACAGGGATTAGAATAAAAGAATAAACTTAAGGCAAAGAAGAAGCGAACCGACGTAATAGTGCATACCCTCAAGCCCATCACGGCTACTTCATTCATCAGTTCGACATCCGTAACGCCCCTCAACGACGCATTCTCAGCCTCCGAGCATAGCAGCTCGAACTACGGCACCAAGCTTTCCCCTTGGAGCAATAAGTTCAATTCCGTAGGAACCTCGATGAAGCGAGATCGCCCCCCTGCGCGCACCGCTGAATTGGTGGAACCTTCCTGGAACATACGGACGTCGTTGGGATCCAAGTCGGATTCAGACTCATCCTCACCCCCTACAGCATCCGCCGCAGCCGCCGAAGGAGCGCTTGCCTCCCCCACATTAGCAGCCGTTGAGGAACTACCTCCTGTCTCAGCGATGGGAACCCCCGATTGAGTCGCCGAAGCGACGGTATCATTACGACCTGAGCCAACCAGGGCAACACCCAATGTTTGTCCGCCCTCAAGGGCAGGCGCCGCAGCCGCACTCCTCTCCGCGTCCGCTGGGGGGGAGTCCAAATTAATTACCATAGGAGGAGCCGGCGCGAACGCGACCCTATGCCTTATCAACGGCCTCTCCTCCTCCCCATCTAATGACGATTCCGCTCTAGGGCGCACGACCCCTAACGGCCCTTCATCCCGAAGCGCGGCCCGTACCTGAGAAGGAACCGCTGAAGATTCAACTGATGCCGCCCTCGGTATTGAGCGCGACACAGGCGCCGCAGTAAGACGAGCGACTGCACCCGGCCGACGAAAAGACAACTGAGGGGCCCTGACGCGGCGTGCCCTCCCTGATCACAGGAAAACAAAGTTGATGAATAAAGTTGAAACAAAGCGGAACAGAAGAAGAAATCAATTTCTTACCTGCCACGGGCCTACGACCATGCCTCTCCCAGAAAGACGCCCATGTGCGTATCCCCACCGTATGGGGGAGTACGGCCTCGACCCACTCACGTATCCAAGACAATGGGGCCGGCAGCGATGTTGGCTACAAAAAACGACACGAGTTAACGCTCATGATCACAAATCATAAAGAGGGGAAGAAAAGGGAATTCAACCACTAAAGAACTTACGTGCATGGTTCCAAGCTTCTGGGAACCCAGTAGCATCCGCCACCAGATGCTTGGTCCTGATGTAAAAGAAGTGCTCGAAAGGGCGAGGGTCGACCTCGTCATCCAATCTCATGACCAGGCCCCTCGACCCACGAGGGCACGCCTGAATCATGGTGCCACGGACTCTCTGGGGAGCGTAGAGACTCAGCACATGCTGTAGCGTGACCTCCCTAGGGGCCAATTCCGCGTACTTGATGAACATTGTCAATAATTTGTAGAGGGAAGGAGTGAGCTGACCCGGGCACACCCCGTAATAACGGCAGAAATCCACCACCAGCATTGGGAGTGGGATCTTGAATCCCAACCTGAAAGGATAGGCGTAAAAAATGCAGTATCCCCTGCGGTCGGTGTGGACCCTCTCCTCGCTTCTAGCGAGAACGATGTCTGCATGGGTGGGAATGACTCCCTGTTCCCGTAATCGGGCCATCCCATTCTCCCCCATTAACGGGGCTTCATCCACCGGTTCCTCTCCACCGTCGATAGTGAAATCAATCACCAGACCTCCGGGCCGAGGAACTACCTCGTCAACCGACGGAACTTCTCCAGTCTCTATCTGTTCTGCACCTCCCATTGCCGGAGGTGGCCCTTCAACTACCGGAAAATCTATCGGAAGAGCATCGTGGGAAGAACTGCCTGGCATTGTTGATCTACTAAAGACAAAGGTTATCACAATCAAAGGAAAGAAAGGAGAAGATGAATTAGCGGAATAAAAAAGTTTCCTCAGAATCTCTCTCAGATGAACAATGAAGATATGAGAAATGAATGCCTCAAGCCACCTTTATAGGCAACACAAATGGCTTTCGCTAAACCCAATAGCCATCATTAACTGCACGACCAACCGTAAAACGATTCGGTTCTGCCGAAGCATGCGTCATCATGACAAGCTCCGCGAAACGGCTTCTCAACCATCCGCCAACGTCCCGCCGTTAGAATAACCACAACGACCTGCGAACGCTGAAAGAATGCGCTGTACGCCTTCAAAATTCTGGACGTGACCAAATGCGTACCCGGCGCATACTCATTCTCCACGGCCATCGCCGTTATATGAAAGGCTACGGCCATCTCCAATATATGAAAGGCTATGGCCATCCCCTTTATATGAAAGGCTACGGCCATCTTTAATGTATGAAAGGCTCTCCAATATATGAAAGGCTACGGCCATCTCCAACGCGTAAATGGCTAAGGCCGCCGTCGTCAATAAGTCGACCCCCTTATTCGAGTTTTTTCGAATCACAATCGATGAAATCCGCTCATCGAGCTCGGCCGAAACACGACCTCAATAAGCGGAGGGACTAACTGTATGGGTCAGAATCTGACCTCACGGTAATTAATGGAGTTAATTTCGTCTTGAGCTAATCCATAATTAATAAGTGGTATGGCCACTTATTCATAAGAGGATTCGACTCTTGTCCGATTTAATCTACGAGGGCACAGCCCATTCATTTCCCCACGGGGACGGAACCTCAGCGTGGCCACGGCCATTTATTGCCAGCTCACGAAGCTCACATCTATAAATACTAAGAGTGGAAGCCCTAGAAAGGGGGCTGCTTCTTCACCACTATTGACAAGAGAGAGAGAGAGAGAAAAACATACCCATCTTATGGGAAATGAAAACACCATTGTAAGGCTCTGAACCTCTTTATGGAGAGGCAGACCAAACCAATATTATCAATAAAGGCTTTTAATGTTTCTCCCCCTAACCTTGAATACTTATTTTCATGTTCTTCGCTTGGTCCAATGGATTATTACGATTTGCTATGATTTTCCCATGATTTACTTATATTGTTTTGTACTCATAAGATATGTGATAACTTTTGAGCAAACAGAGTTGCTAAAATGTTGTCCATTTGTAGAAGGATTCTGAAGAGGGTAATGTTGGTCACTCGTAGTTGGTAGTAACTCGTAAATATGATATTGTTATCCCTATCTTTCTGAAAATAGTTAAATTTCTTATATAATAGAACAAATGAAAGTAAATATAATAGTCGTCCACCTAATCACTTAAATTAGAAATAGCCGATGGAGTTAAAATATATGCATAATTTATGTAACATATGTATGTACATATGTATAATCTATGCATATTGCTAGAAAAAGTAAATAACGAATATGGCTGGCTATTTGTGTAAAAAATTAACCCAAATACCTTAAACTAAAAATAGCCGGTGGAGGTATAATATATGTATAGTTTATGTATTATATGTGTATAGTTGTGTATAATCAAAACATAAACTATGTGTATGTTTAGAAAAAGTGTGATGACCCAAAACGGTCATCACTTGTTTTAAATTAAATTCTATGTTTCCGAGGCCTTAAAAACCTCATTTAGAGTCACCTCGAATTGCATGCGCAATCCGGGCGCGTAGCCGAAAAGCTTAAATATGAAAATCTATGAAAGATTATAAAATTTGGTTATAAAATGAGCTAATTTGACTTCGGTCAACGTTTTGGGTAAACGGATCCGGACGCGTGATTTGACGGTCCCGAACAGTCCGTAGGAAAATAAGGGACTTGGGCGTATGCTCGGAATCGAATTCCGAGGTCCCGAGCCCGAGAAATGAATTTTTAAAGGAAATTGTTTTCTGAAATTGTTTAAGGAAATTTGAAATAAAATTTGATTAGAACGTGTTGGTATCGGGCTCGTATTTTGGTTTCGGCGCCCGGTATAGATCTTATATATGATTTAAGATGTTTCTGTGAAATTTGGTAAAAAACGGACGTCGTTTAACGTGATCCGGACTTAAATGGCTAAATTTGATACTTTATGAAGTTGAGAGGAGTTCTTTGATTTTAAGGTTGAATTCGTTGTTGTTAAGGTTATTTTGGCGATTTGATCACATGGATAAGTTCGTATAATGTTTTTGAGTTAATATGCACATCTGGTTTGGAGTTCCGAGGGCTCGGGTGAGTTTCAGGTAGGTCTCGGGAGGTCTTAGGCTTAAAAATTCATAAATGTTGCAGGTTCAGAGAAATTGCAGATCTCTGAACCCGCTAGTGCGGTCAGCGAGAAATCGTGTGCGACCGCGGAAGGGGCAGTGCGGTCCGCGGTAGACTTTGTGCGGGTGGGGTGGAGGGCTGTGCGGCCGCAGTCGACTTTGTGCGGTCCGCACAGGGAGGTTCAGAGACTGTACCCTCAGGAAAAGGCTGTGCGGGCGCGGTCCGTTTTGTGCGGTCCGCACAGGGGTCCTGAGAGATATATAAATAGACGGGATTTTCAGTCATTTTTCATTTTTCAAAACCCTAAAAACATAAGAGGCGATTTTTCAAACAACCTTTCTTCTCCAAATCAATTGTAAGTCGTTTTTAACTAGTTTTCTTCAATCATTAACATCTTTTAACATGATTTCAACTTCAAATCAAAGATTTTCATGGGGAAAATTGGGTGTTTTGGGTAGAACCTAGGTTTTTCAAAAATTGGGGATTTCGACCTCGATTTGAGGTCCGATTTCAAAATAAATTACAAATTTGAGCTCGTAGGGGAATGGGTAACCGGGTTTTGGTTCGAACCTCGGGTTTTGACCACGTGGGCCCGGGGGCGATTTTGACTTTTTGGGTAAAGCTTTGGAAAACTCATTTTCATGCATTCAAATTGATTCATTTAGCGTTTATTGATGTAATTAAGTAACTTGTGGCTAGATACGAGCGAATTGGCGGTGGAATCAAGGGGTAAAGCTATAATTGAGACTTGAGTTATGTTCGAGGCATCGAGGTAAGTGTTTGGTCTAACCTTAGCTTGACGGATTAGGAGTTGTGTCCTATTTGCTATTTGCTTCTTGTCGAGTACGACGTATAGGCATGGTGACGAGTATTTATACGTTGGTGTCAAGCATGACCGTGAGTCTTATATTGTGATTTTCATTATTTTGTTGTATTATTCATGCCTTGGTGAAGATTTCTAATTGTTGTATAAAGTTTGTGGAAATAATTGTGACCTATGAACATTGAGGAGCGTCGGCTCAAGCTGTATAACGAATTGTGAAAGTATAAGTGATAATTGAACCTCTAGAGCATTGGCTCGAGTTGTGAAGTGAATTGTGAAGTAAAAGTGAGAAAGAGAAGAGAACATTATGTTGTCACCCTTGCCGGGCTATTGTTGATTTATATGTTATCTCCCTTGCCGGGATGTGGATATTATCGATGTTGTTCCCTTGCCGGAATTTAATTGTTGACTTGTTGCTCCCTTGCCGGGATTCTTATTGCAAATTTCCTTTATTTCCTTGCCCTATTGTTTGTGATTGTTGTTTGGGTGAGGAAGAGAGTTAAAGCACGAAGGGTGATGACGTGCATTGCTTGTTTTGTGAGGAAAGAGTGTAAAGCACGAAGGGTGATGTCGTGCCGCACAATGTACCATTCCGTGCCTATTATATTGATTTCATGGTGAGGATGAGAGTAAAAGCACGAAGGGTGATGCCGTGCAAT